AAGAAAGTCCAATATTTGCCGACTAGTTGTAAAAAAATATACTCAATTTGGTATTTTTGTATTAAAATAAAAATTAATTAAATGAGTATGCACCCCTACGGCTTGGCAAAATAACGGTCAATCGTGAATAAATTCATTAAGAGATAGCGTCTATATTTATATTATTTCAAGTTTCTAATCGCGGTCAGACACTGGAACAAATTATATCCGAACATTGGGCCGTGATTTATTTCAACTGTCCGAGCGCTGGTACATTGATGTAACTTCGTTACTTGCGTAAATATTTCATTAATAATAGATATATACATTGGTTTAAATTATTTTTCTCTAAGGGAATCTTAAGTTTTCGAACAAATACAAATATTTATATCAAAACTATTCTTCAGTATCATATATTGGGTTTTTTGTGACGACCTACGCTTAAACGTCCAGTTATTGGGACATTTACCTTGTTACTTCTTACGTGCTGGTAAAACGCGCGGATGCAAACGAAGCGAACAGTTGCTGCGCTAGAGCGACGACACACGCGCGCGCGACCACCCAAGTAGACGTTCGAATTAGCGTTGCGGGAAACGCCGGGGATGTTCACCTCGTCGCCATCGGGATGACCGGAATTTCCGCTTTTCACCGTGTACATCGCGGCGAACGGCTTTGGCAAACCCTTCCCGTGATCGATATACGACCCTTCCCCTCCCCCCGCCCCCCCAGGATGGCAAGGAAGCGGTGGTCCCCCTGTTGCTCGATGCGCGCGCGCGGGAAGATCTCGGCTCGGGGAAGCTATAAAGAGGGATCAAGTCGCGCACATTTCTAATTCGATGACCGTGGCACGTAGCTGCCGCGCGGTGCTTTAAAGAAGAGACGAAAAAAATGGAGGAAACTTCGCGCTGCAAAAGGGCACAACGGCGGCCGCTTGAAAGGACGGTCGGATATTAGCGGCGCCATCTTTACAGCTTTATGCACACGGCAGGAAGTCGTATTCTCGTAAACTAATCGTGTCGCGTCGAAGTGAGGGCCCGTCAGGCCCGGTATAGATATTAATCGTCATCGTGAATGGAATTCCTCGTCCGCCGGTCTAGTCTCGTAAAAGACCGGATTCGCATTGTTTAATATGTGAGAACAACGTGCGTTTGGCTCGACTCGAAAGCGACTTTCTACCCTCACTTGCCTCATCTCGTATAAGGTGTAAGTCGATCGATCGACGTTTCGTCTTCTTCAGTTGGAAGTTCCGAATGCCGCAACACGTCGAAATGCATTTCACGCGATTACGCGCGTCTCCACGTACGATTTTGTCGAGCTCGTCACAGGATGCTGACGCGAGAGGTTCTGGCGGGCGGGGCGGACGCATAGAAGCGCGGAGGAGACTCCGGAATGGGATTAAAAGGAGCGGCCGAGAGAGAGAGAGAGAGAGAGAGGGAGGAAGAGCAGTCTCTCCGCTTTACTCCAATACGGTGTTCCGGACGCGGAAAGAGGACCGCCGGAGCGGTTTTAAGAGGCTGCAACAATGGAGCAACAATTACTTTATTTTGACTTTGCGGCCGGCTCTTGCGCCCCTTTGAGGCGGCCTGCGACTCTTTGTCCGCTGGCTACCTCCGACTCCCGATGTCAAACGTGAAAACGCGAGCGGAAAGAAATGCCCCCGCGGGCGTGTATTTATTCGTTTCGTTTGTGCTGAGCCGGGATCGGCTCGGTCATCTAGCCGAGATCGGTTAGGCGAACTCCCGCACCGCGACAAATGGCTTTCGGAACGCTCTACCGCTCACGTATCGCCGAATTCTATGGCGTCGAGTATAATATTCCCCCCACCCCTCCCCTCCCCCCCCTCTCTCTCTCTCTCTCGCTCTCCCTTTTTTTCCCTTCCTTTACGACTTAAAAACTCCAATCAGGCTTTGGAAATTGAACGTGGACGCAGAATAATACGTTCACCTTTGGGGACAGTTCAATCTGAGCGAGATTTACAACGTGGAACCAAAGTCGGTGCAATATTGCCGACAGGGAAGCGACAACGGGGGGGGGGGAGGGGGGGGATACGAGCCGGCGGATTCGGGCTGATAGTTGCCGCTTGTTCGCTGGTAACCCTGTGGTAATGCTGGAATTATTTAATTACAAAGTCACATTGACATAATACGTGGAGAGATATACGTGCAGACTGTCAAACGACTACTGGATGACTCAAAAAACAGCTCACAAAGTCTGCCATACGCTACGATTGCCGCACTGGAAAAATCGATCTAAAAGAAGTATATCCTTTAAATATTTCCTTCATCTCTCCCGGGAAGGTACGGGAAATCCTGAAGATCTTTTGACGCCAAACGCGCGGTGTGTCCGATGTGTCCTCGGCGACGTCGAGCCAGCCGGGGAAAAGGGACGACGTGATGGTCACGTCGCATCGTGTCGCGTCGCGTCGCGCGACTGTACAATGCGATATTAATGCGCGAGATCGCGTCAGTACCATAGAGAGATAGGGAGAGAGAGAGAGGGAGGGACAGGCCGTTTTCACATGGAAATTCATGAACTCGCCTCTCAACGGCGATTTCCACGGACATCGCGAACGAAATCCGTATTTCCGAGGAAACGTGCGGAGCCGCCGGCGCGGCGCGGCGCGGCGTGGCGGCCGCACGTAGCCGAACGACGACGTTGAAGGATCGCCCTCCGTCCTCCCATCGACGCTCTGCTTTGCACTTGAATAACCCAATTTTCGGGATGGAGCGAGCTCTCCAGCTCCGGGGCATTCGCCAGCGAGGTCTCCTCCTGCACCACCGCGTCTACGCGCAAACAATCCATTCGACGAAGATTTACGAGCTGAATTTTATCGCGCGCTCGCGCTCGCGCGCGCGTCTCGCATTCTTCACCCGTTACATACGCGCCCGCTGTGAAACTTCCTTAATGCGGTCATACCTGCCTGTACCTTGTCGTCGCTGCCGGAGAGATTCGTAAAAGGAAGGAAGATCGCGCGCGGACCAAGGGAGGCCGAGCTCTCTTGGACTCGGTAAGACTCGCTTCTTCGGGAATAAAAATATCCCTCTTCCGGCGCGGCCTCGCGCGATCCTCGGGCATGTTGACATTTTTGCGCTCGTTACCAAGCGCGAGATGTGCGCGCCGAGGCGATCATCACGTCGCGCTTTGAATTCGAACGACTGCGATGCGGGTGCGCATTTTTTTTCACTTTACCGCTCAATTACGGAGCGGCAGCGAGAGAGAATTTTTTGCACGGATTCGGTGACACGCGAATTCGTGAAACGCGTTTCACGGCGCGCGGATTCGTCGCTCGTGATTCTCTCTCTCTCTCTCTCTCTCTCTCTCTCTCTCTCTCTCTCTCTCTCTCTCTCTCTCTCTCTCTCTCTCTCTCTCCCTCCCTCCCTCTCTCTCTTCCTTCGAGAAAAAGACAACGCGGCGACGCTTGAAAAATCGGCCGGCATTGAAAGCGGAAGCGAGAGCGGCGCGAGGTCCCCCCGGGCCTGCTTTGCACCTGAATGATCCAATTTCGTTGCGAGCGGTGTCTTATAGCGTGTTCGCGAGGAAACAGCGTCCCATCGCGTCGGGACCCAGCCCGTGGCGTTGTTAGGTGACACGCTCCTTTGCGAATGAATAGAAAAGCACGACGGTGCGCGACGCTCTCTCGAGAGGGTCGAAATTTTATCCCGATTTCTCAGCCCGGCCAGGCTAATCTCGCGTTGACTTTTTTCCATGTTTCCTCATTGTGAGTCAGTCGTGCGAGCGAGCGTGGCTCTCGCGGCTCACGTCACAACAATGCAATTATACGCCTGCGAGATTGCGGGAAGATCTCGGGGTAGAGACACGTTCGATTTCGGGGGTGGTCGCGTAAACGAGCCGTTTACGGGCTCTCGCTTCTTTTCACTTCGCCTCGACTTTTCGACCCACGGGATCACCCGCGAGGCGTTCAACGATCTTCACGCGAGCTTAGGTACCGGGGAACATGCTGGCGCGACGGATCCGTCTTGTAGCGGCAGATTGTAATAACGATTGTGACGCCTCGTGCTCTGCGCTCCCGAATATCAAACTGTGTCGCACAAATTATATTGTAATAATTCTTTTATCTGAATTATTATAAAGATTATATAATACAATTATATATACATTATATATATATATATTTTTTTTTTTATATAAATATAATGAAATGTGTACAAAAGCGACCTGGCGAGAAAAGTCTTTTTGTCCACCGAGGGAAATCTCAGTGGCGAATTATATTGTGTAAAATTGATTGTGTTGTATATGAATACGATCAATTCTGTGTAGTAATTATTTATCATTATGTCGCGTATTATGGAGCTTTTTGCGAGAGCGAGAATTACACGCTAGCGCGATGTCTGAGGAACGTCACGCGATTTGTTAAGCGCTCCGCGCTTGTATTCTGTTGTTCGTTCAAAGAGCGGGCGAACGCGTGGTCGATGGCCGCTATTAAGTGCGATGGGAGTCCGCATTGTGTCGCGAGGGGGAGAAGCGTGTAAAGCATGACGTCGTGGTGGCTACAAAGTGCGTTTTTCGGGATGAGCGTCGCGATAATACAAACGCCGTGTTCATTTTTCAGTAGCCGCGTGAGCCCGCTGGACCATTTTTCAAGGGGCAGATTATCCGCGTCGGAGACGCGGTGTGTGTCCCATTACGGATCGCCGATCCCTCCGCGTGAGGCACGAGACGATGTTATCGTCCCTTAAAGGATGAATTTCATCGATAAGGATCCGCAATTTAGCGCTCGCCGCTTTGTCCGGGATTAAATTTGTAATGTGATTATGTTGCGAGGGCGAATAATCACCAGCGAAATATTTTCTCCAAATTAAATGTTGTACCGTGAGGAAAGTTTACCGAAGAATAACGACGCGATTCTGCTGCCAGGTCTCAAAATGGTTCCCCCTCACGTTACGCGATGACTCTGCGTGAAGTTCTCCCTTTTCGCGAGAGCGATACATCGCGTCGTCTCGCGTTTTTACCTCACCGTGGGCACAATCTAAATTTTTATAAGTGAAAATGTAACGTCGCGGGAGAGTTACCCGAGGAGAAGAACCCGATAGCGAAAGCGACCTCGAGAGCGCATCCTGCGAACCAGGAATATGTCCGAACATGACGTGGCGAGATCTTACGGCGCGTGATATCGAGGACCGCTGGAAATAAGAAAAATACCGAACATTTCTAACCTCTGGATGGCACGTATGAGATCCGTCCTACGTTTCTCGCGCATACCGCCGCGGACACGGACTTATCCGCGAGAATGTTCGATAGGCCGTAGGGAGGGGGAGACGTGCTCACGCGCTGCGTCATAAGTGTATCCTTCACGATGCGTCGCTCGAAATCGTCTCTCGAATGTAAAACCGTTCGCCGCCTCCGCGCAGGAACCTCCGTGCAGGATATGCACTCGTCTTGCCCCGCCAACTACTTCCGACCCGCGAGTTTGGGAGAGCCGTTACCGATCGTACCTCACGAGACGACGAGAATTCTGCGACCTGAGGAAGTGCAACGCCAAAGTCGGCACGAACTCGAGGCCCGAATACGACTCCTCGCGCTCCTACAATGTCGACCGTCTCGTTAGCAAAATTCAAGAACTGGACAAGAGCGTTCAGGACCTCGAAAGATCGAGATACGACAAAGCGGTAATTTACCAGTTACGGATCGATCAGATGATCGAGAGAGAGAGAGAGAGAGAGAGAGAGAGAGAGAGAGAGAGAAGAAGCGGTTGCGGAAATTTTTAGTTTTATACACACGGTATTTCGATAAAAATTCAGGAAAAAGTTGAGCAGAAGCGCTCGGTGCTGGAGCAGCCGGTGGATACCGAGATAACCGACTTGAAAGACGCTCACGACGCCACGGAGAGCTGCCTGCTGGACATAGAAAGGATCAGGGCGTTTTTGGGAGACGAGAGCTCCTGGTGGAAGATGCTGAAGGAACAGTCGGTCAATTGTTGCCAGGAAAAATCGCCTCATCTTCACGGGGTTTTGAACGGATCATCGGTTACTTTGATGCTGCGCGAGGAAGGAATCGACGAGGTGCGCTTTCTCTCCGCTCGGGGAAGTTAATCAATTAATTCGAGACGATTGAATTAAAATTTTCAGTCGTACTTAAATCGGAACTCGTTAGTTACAGATTGAAAAACGAGTGACGAGTGTTCAACGAGTGAACAAGCACGATAATTTAACGATCTGAAGAAAGGTAAAAGGGGGCAAAATTAACGTAACTCTTCTCTCGCTAGGCACCGCGTCGTTTCACGTCCACGCCGAAGAAAGGATCCAACGTCGCTTACTTCAGCTTCCGAAACTCCCGAGCTTCCTCGAGGGAACAGACGAGTGAAATGAAATGTGCCGAGCAGTGCACGGATCCTCCTTGGGAGGAACGCGCGGACGAGTGTACGGTTCCGTGTTACAGCATCGATATGAAATCGACGTTGATCGAAGTCGGGAGGTAAGTCCTGTCCAACCTGGACGACGTTTGGCATTCGCGTCAGCGTGTTCGTGGGAACGTTCGTTAAGATTCGGCACGTTGGAACCGCTCGCGAAAATTGAGCAAGAAAATTCACGACACGTTGATAGGAAAGTCCTATCGATAGAATATCTCGGGAAGGATAATTTCTTTCGTAGCAGCGAGAGGCAAGCAGATCCGCAGACTCAGCGATACGCCAAAACGGCTACGAGGAGCAAGCAGAATACTGTTGCTTCGGATATTTGGACGGAGACGCGGGAAGGCAGGAGCGGCGAACAGAGAGCGCCGGATCGGCCGTACAGGTCCAAGGAAACGCGCGACAGATCGCAGGAGAGGAAAGAGAAAAGGACTGACAGGTCGAATGGTATAATGTGACCGTCGTTAAATCAGCAGACACAAGGTCAGCTTTGCCAAAATCACCCTCGACACGCGGTTTTCAGTTGCGCCGCCGAGAGAAGTATGGTACGGCCAAAACGCGGAGACAATGTACGAGGACACGTCGAGGCCCCGGGAAACGTTCAGTAGCGAGAATACCGGAAGCACCAAGCACATCACCGTCGATTTCACGTCGAACGTGGATCTGAACGAGGTACGCACGTCGAGTATATCCGCGTCGAGTATATTCGCCAATTTCCCTCTGCGATATCTTACTGCGTGGATTACTTGCCGCCTTCCTTCCGCCTTCAGGACTTCCCGTCCAGAAGCGCGACGAGCCATAAGCCACGAACGAAAATGGTCACCGAGAAGATCGTTTATCGCGTCCAAAAGTCTCCGACGAGAGTTACCAAGACCAAAAGCAGGGACTGACGTTCGCAGGGTCGGCGCGCTATTCAAGGACACGCGTAAATCTCGCGGTTACTCCAGCTTGTACTCCAGAAATGTAATAAACGCCTAAAGATTCCATACAAATATGTGAAATTCACTCCTAATTATTTCTGTCTCTCGTGAACGATTTTTCCTCATTCTGTATACCTAATTACTTCGACTCGTTTCACACGATTGATCTATATATAAAGCGCACTGGTATCGATTAGACTCGAGTCGAGTCTCACGTCGTTCAACTATCAATCCGCGACTCGTCGGCCGCTCGCCCGTATGTTTTTCCGAAGCTTCTCCGCCGCGACCGAAACACTCCATAATTTCGCAGGTGCATCTCAGGGTTCTTAAATTCCTCAGGTATTTCAGGAAGAAGTTCAATGATGTTTGCAAGTGGTGCTCGAGCAAACGTGAGCAGGTGAGGTTAGACCACGCCGCCGTGTCTCGTTATCGACTATTCGACACAAATCTTACGCGAATGCACGCGAAGCGATATAACACGGCGCGTATAAATTCGCCCGCCAACCGTCTAGACACGCGGGATGGAGAAGGTCCTTATAATAGCGAGGAGTCCGCCGGCCCCTGCTGTCGATAACGAGTTGAAAATGGGTTCGAAGACCATCGTGATCCTTCGCGAACCGGCGCTACTGCGATCTCCGCTACCGACCCCGAGCACTTCGTCCGAGTACACGTCTTCCACGCGAAGTTGAGCGAAACCTGAGGTGAGGAGCAGCAGCAGCACAAACGCGGCTTCCAAGAGCTTCCAACCGAACGTCCCTCGCCGAAACTCGAGATGGAAGGAAGAGAACGAAAATCGACATCTTCCAACGAGTCCATCTTTACCTCGAGTACCGAATTACCGGAAGCGTCTTCGAAGGAGGAGCAGGAGGGTACCTCGGCGATTGACGAAGGACGATTCACGGAGTCATGCAAGCTTCCGAGGAGAATTAAGTTATCCTCCTCCAGAGGCAGCTGCTCGAAATCATGCAGGAAACATAAAGAAACCGTCCCGGAAGGGTACGCCGTTTATCTCGCGATCGTCCTTCTCGCCGAGGCAGCGCGGCCTGCAACCTCGGTCGAGTCGATGTTATTGTTTCTTTTCTCTGCACTTTTGCATCGAGGAGTCAACGCTGAAGGATAAGGATAGATAGGTTAATGATTACCTTACGGAAATTACAAAATCGATCGATTTCCAATTATTTTGACTTCCCGGTGGAATCGATTTTTTTTTTTTTTTTCAAGCAGCTTCATTTCGGGTACGATCGTTCGTTATCGTAACTTCTGAGATTCGGCCGTGTCGAGGAGTGCCGCGAAGAGTGAAGCGCAGCGCGTTAATTAACCAACTCGCTCGAGGATCGTCTCGCGTTTCTCGTCTCGAGGGAACCGCGACTGCTCGTGTACCGATGCCGATCGTGCCGTTTCGCGTGCATTTCAGTGCTCGAACGTCGGCCTGCAAACCGCAAACGTTGCGTGAATCATCCTCCGGTGAAAAGAAGCTCGAGACAAAACCGTTGGCGGAGACACCACCGTCCGGCCAGGTGAAAACGAAACTGAAAGGGACGTCGGAGAAGCTACAGGTCTTTCTTCTTCTTCTTTTCGTCTTCGCCTCTCTCTCTCTCTCTCTCTCACCCCTCCTGCGCGCCAGAATATTTTTGCTCGAGTCGCGGAATCTCAATGAGCGACTTCCGACAGAACGCGTTTTTCGCCGTTTTTCGAAAAGGTGGCCACGCGCACCCTGGCCAGGATCAAGTCCTTCTGCTTGCAGCTGAGGGACGACCTCAAGACGAGACGAGCGCTCGGCTTCAAGTGCGACTTGAAGAAGTGCGACAGCACCTTGGTGGAATGTAGCGCGAGGTCGTGCAAGAAGAAGAGCATGATATTCGGCGGACCGGCCGATCCGCGCGACTCGGAAGATTCATTCGCTTCCAATACCAGCGATTCCTCGACGATATCGAGCGCGAGCGGGAAGGTCCGGAAAAACTTCGCCGTCTCATAACGTAAATATCATCGTCATATCATAGCGTCAACATCATTCATAATTATCCTACGTCCTGCCGCGGACATTTCTCGCCGACCAATCTTCGCGAAACCTTCGGGCTCATCGAGTCGAAACGTCGAAACTTTCATCCACCTCGATTTATCCGAGTGACAATAATTGAAGAGTAATTTGGAGAAACAGTAATCGCGATCGAAATGAAAATTGACCCGCGACGCGGAGATGCCTACTTTCTTCAAGTAAATCGGTGAAAAAGTATGCGATTGAATCGGTCAGTGCGCGTCTCACCGACAATCAGTGAATATATTTACAACTGATCTTCAGTGGATTCACATTGCTTCGACCGATCCTTCCAGCGAGACCAATACCGGTCGCAATGTTACGCTTCCGACTGAACCATCAGTCGCAAGTATGGCACTTTTCGGTGAAGAATACGCTGATTGCGTGCGTGCGGAGAACGAGACCGGGAGTGAACATCGCAACTCGTTGCTTGCTCGAGCGAGCAATGTCGACGCGTTCCCGCTCGTCGAATTCGACGATCTGCGGCGTTGGCGACCGCGGGGGCTGAGGGTGGAGGGAAAAATAGATAAAACGCGAGACTGCCAGGTATATACTCCCTCCCTTTTTCGGGAGACAGACAGATCGACAGACTGACAGACAGACAGACAGACAGAGAGAGAGAGAGAGAGAGAGAGAGAGAGAGAGAGAGAGAGAGAGAGAGAGAGAGAGAGAGAGCGAGAGAGAGAGAGAGAGCATTTACGTGGGCGCTAAGTAGCGATACATCACCGGCCGGGTATTCAGAAGGCGAATCGACTTTTATTGCTTTATAGCGCTTGTAAGCCCGGCCGCACGCCATCCCGAGCCGCGCATGTAATCTGGATGTAAAGAGCTCATTATTACGGCCGATTACGTACTATTCACGAGCGGAGGCCCGAACCGACGAACGAAACTACACTTTGATAGCCGGACCGGAGCGCGATATTTTCCGCGGACTCATGAGTCACTGAGGGAGTCCAGACATGGTGGAGGAGCGTGTCTCGCTGTTGCCGAGACGATATAATTCCTCCCACACTTGGCCGTTACGGTTCCCGACGCGCGCACGGCTCCAACGTTTGCTCAACATTTATTTAACGCGCGGCGCTGCGCGAATTAGCGTGAAAGAGACACACCGCGCGCATCGCGCGGTGATTCTCCGCGAGTCAGAGATGGCGGACGTGAGGACGTGATTCGCGCGTCCCTGCGAATCAAGCCCGGAAGAGTGAAGCCTTCCGAACGAAGGCGTGACAAAGCGTCTTCGAGCGTATTGTCCGGAGAATCCGCGTCAATTAATCCGTCGGAGAAAAATCGTCCCGCCGACGTATTCCCATTAGACGCTCCAACGTCTACATTCATAATTTAAGACGATTCACGCAATCTGTCCACCCACGCCGAGGTGCCTGACACGCTCGCCCGCATAGATCGCATAAATCGCGTGTTTTCCTTCTTATTGGCTGATTGAATAATACATGTAACCGAATAGTATTAAACCGGCCGAGCGGGACACGCGAGGTCCATGACGCCTGTCATGTCGGGCGGGTCGTGCGTCAGCATTTTGACGAGTTGTTTAGGTCGATCAATTTATCGTTTAAGATACGTACACATACACACACACGCACACACACATACACACACACACACACACACACGAAGGAAAACGAACGAGCGTTCGCGTCGCGCCTGCTGTATTTCGCCGTAGTCGATTCGAGATTAACGACGCGATGTTGAGATAAGATTGCGGATTTATGAAACTGCGTCCACCGGCGATTTATCATCTTATATCTGTTACGTGTCTATCTTAACGTTATTAGGAGGCGTTGCTCGATCGCCGTCCACGTTTCCCGACTATTATTTGCATTCGCCGTGTATTATTCGTACTCTCTCGCGGATAATTCCCGCGAGGAGCCGGCGATCGCCTCGCGGCGACGCGCGCGGTGAAGATTGAGCCGGCCGGCCGACCAGCGAGGCGTCGGGGAATTTTCTCGCGATTTCCCGAATCTTCCCGCTTTCGTCTTTTTCTTTCTTCCGCTTGCTTCTTCTCCCCCGCGTCGTTGCAATATTTTTTCGCGCCGAACGACGAGACGCCGTGGTGGGCCGGCGAGCTGTTCGACGCGCGTCCGACGTTCATTACGCGCCGGCGGAGAAATTACGTTACGAGCGGAGTAACGTCGGAGTTGGCGAGTAATGTACAATTTCCATTACGCTCGCATTTTTTCGGAGCGATCGACGAGAAGAGAACGGCAGATTCTTGGCGGATACGAGACTTCGCGGTGCCGCATGTCCTCTCTCTCGCTCGCTCGCTCGCTCGCTCGCGCGCGTGCAATTTCGAGGCGGACTGTACTAAAAATATTATTATTTCGACGCGCATGAACGGCACAAAGGGCAGAAAGAAGTATTAATGACGGAGTATTACACGACGCGTCGGCCGTGCGCAAAAATTGCTCGCTAAATCACCGGTCGGCCACCTATAATCTCGCCTATTCAGCGTAATTTATTACGCATTGATATTTACAATCCTTTAGGGTTAATATCTCTCTCGCGTCGCGTCGCGTCGCGACGATTGGCCGCGCGGCCGGGATCGCCGGTAATGCGAAACCTCCTCGTTCGCGAAACCGACGATGATCCGCCGTGATTGCATATTTAACGCGCGCGCGCGACCAACAAATTGACCTTCCTAGCGGCCCATTACGAGACATTTGCGAATCAATCGCGGCAAGTGGGCGGCGAATTTACATTTAATTACGGTATACGCGAACACTCTCGCGAGAACAGCCGCTTTACACGCCGAGTATTTTCCCTCTCGCGAAATTGCGCCGTCCGACGATAACTACGTGTACTTGTCCGAGACGCAGCAGCCGGATATCTCGATATCGACTCGAAGAACAACGCATCACGTCACGTGTCGTGCTGCGTATCTGTGAGACAAAGAGATCGGGCAGTCGCAAAGTGCTTCTCTCTCGGGACAGATCGACCTGATATTGATACAATCCAACCCTCCCGTAATCGCGATATTCACTAGATTCCACGTTCAGGCTACAACGTGCCGC